TGGGGAACTCACCAACAACATCTTGCCTGGGGAACGCATTGACCTTTTTCCCCTCGGCCACAACAATTGTCGTGAATTTTATCCCTTCCACTTCTTCACCATCTCCAACTAAATTAAATTATTACTAGCTCTACTCTTTTGATTTGATTGAGCCTATATTATTCTCATGTAATTAATTTTAAATTTCTTACTACTCTTTTGATTGATTGAGGGAGAGTATATATAGTGGAAGATCAGACTTTGTTCTATGATAATTTACTTTCTCAATCATAATCTTCTAATTCTATCTCACTCAACTATTGCTATTACTATCAATCAATGATCGAAGATTACTTTTTATGATTGTCTTTGCAATGGCATGTAGTTGTTCAGTTGTTCTTTTCTTGGTATTAGGATGTTATATCTGTTTTCGGGGTTTTAGTTTAACCCGTTGGTGATCGTATATTTAATGCGCCGTAATCTATCCGGTTCTGTAGCTTAGCTTGGAGTATTCGTCACCACAGAATGAAATGATTCTTTGAGGCTGGCTGGTATTGTATTTGTTGTCTGATGATGTCATGTGCCCCTGAGGATAGTAAATTTCTTATGTATTTGTGCTGTTCAACTTGTTTTGTTGGCTGGTCTTGTATTTGTTGTCTCATGTCATGTGCCCTGAGGATAGTAAATTTCTTAGGTATTTGTGCTGTTCAACTAAATTAAGTTATTACTAGCTCTATTCTTTCGATTTGATTAAGCCTATATAATAGGCATGTGAATAATTTTAATTATTCTTACTACTCTTTTGATTGAGGCCTGAGGGAGATTGTAGTGGAAGACTTTGTTCTATGATAAATTACTTTCTCACTCATAATCTTCTAATTCTATCTCACTCAACTTTTCTATTACTATAATGTGTACCGTACGTAAATATTTATATGTCAATTTTACTTAATCCTTCCATGCATATCAATCATGAACTATGTTCAACTCAAATTTCAATATTATTATATCTAAATGCACTAGAGAGGATTTTTTTTCCATGAAATGGGCCAGGTATTCTACACTTGCATTCTTTTATAGTTGTTGGGATTTTGAGTACCACTTCAGACTCCATTGCTTTTTTTTTCTTTCTTTCTAGAGATTGACAAATTTTACCAAGAATAATCCCAAAGATTAAGATCTTGGAACTTTATTTTTCTCTTAGTGGTTGCACTACAGCATATACATTTCACTATCAAATACGAGAGAAAGCACCTGCAGCCCTTCAACCTTCGAAAGCCAACGCAAACTGAGGTCCGCCATTGTCGGGGAGCTTGAGCCACCATCGAGCTGTTTGTCAAGGTGAGGTCCCGCAGCAACCAGTACGTCCAACAGTCGCAAGTAGCGATTCGAGGAGTTTCGAGTGCTTGAGGTGTCTCTTCAAGCTTTCGAGTCCCGTCACCCCGGTTGTCTGACCCGTTGTTTCAATATTCCCGAAGACGGTAACCTTTTCGAAACCCTCTAACTAATTGTTATCCGGGATGATAACGTTCATTTATTGTCGTTCGCGTTGAATCGTTCGTTGGGCCTCGAATTCGGTATAATTGTCGTTTCGTATATTCGTTGTTTATTTCGTATGTTCGTGGACGTTTCGGGGATGATTGGAACTCTCGATTTCGAAAAATCGAGTATCGTAACGTTGCTGAGATTATTTCGGTTAGGTTTGGAGTCTCGTTTTGTTGTTTCGGAGCCTCTTTCTATGTTTTGAACTTTACCGTCGTCAATGTGTTGTTCGTTATTTCGAACCGTATTCTTGTCTTTTTTTTTTTTTTTCAAACCAACAAAACTCGTTTTTATAATATTTCAAAACTCAGAGTAAATTGTTATGGTTGTAAATGTTCAAACCTCTCGTAAAATCGCAGTTGTAATTCTGTAGAACCTGGTTGTGCAGCCTCTGTTTTCCCATATCTGCAGGCTTCTGTTTAATTTATAGAATTAGATTTTTCTTTATTGTTGCAAGATGGCGTGTGGTGTAGTGGTCGCGACGCTGGGTTTCTGTGTTTGCGATACTGGGTTCGAACCCACCCTTGTGAAGAAGTAGCCAATTTATTTTTATTTAATCCCAGCTCCAGGCGTGCGGGCTGTCCAGCCCGCAGTCGGCCCGCGCACGGCCCGATTTCCACTCTCAGCGTATGGCTCGCGAGCCCGCGCCCTGGCCCAATGAGGCCCGCGTCCCTTCAGCCTGTTTGAATTGGACCAGCCCTTGTGCGCGGCCCAATTTCCGCGTGTGTGAGCCCATTTCAGTGGCAAGGCATTGGTACAGTGGCCAGCTCGGCCCAATGTGACTTTTTGCCCTATTTTGTGTTCCGGAGTCCGTTTTTAGTAACGATTTCAATTCTAAAAATTATTTTTAAAACGAGAAAAATTTAGGAAAATTATTTTAAGTCCCGAGACTTCATTTTTGTGCTCCGAGTCTTATTCTTTTAAAAAAAAATGAGAGAGTTCCAAGTCCACGAAAAATCCGATTAAAACCCTTAAGTCTTAATTTGATTAAGTGTGGGTTTTATATTAAATTCGAGTAGTGAGATAGATTATTGATAAATTATCTCGCTTAAATGTAGGCGTTTGAGGAGTCGAGCCCTCGACCCACGTACTTGCTTTTGTGTGCAATCTTCTACCGAAATTTTCAGGTGGGTTATTCAAATATTTATCTATGCCATGAATGATAAAATATTTATTTAGGTGGGTTTAATTTGAAAAATTGCTATGCCTTAAGTGTTATTACTGTTTATTTTCTGGTATGATCAAAGTATGCATGTGGACTATGTAGCCTTCGATGTGAGCTGTATCGGCCGTCGAACGGTTATCCCTGACTACGAGGTTGTGTCTTTTACAGGCAGTCTCCTCATATCGTTGTAAGGCCACATTGAGGGGCAATCGGTATGGTATCGTTGTAAGGCCACATTGAGGGGCATTCGGTACGGTGTCGTTGTAAGGCCACATTGAGGGGCATTCGACATTTACTCCTACTAGTATGGGATTCGATGTAAGGCCACATTGAGGGGCATTTGTTGTAAGGCCATTTAGTAGTCTATGGTTAGGTGTGCACACGAGTAAGAGCTCTAGGATAGGAGATGGGATAGTTGATTGATTTGTATACATGCTGCGACCATACCTTATATATTACTGATTACTGTTTTATTATTGTGGATAACATTTATGGTATAGTGGTGAGCACTACTGTTTCCTTTTGTGCTCATCCCCACCTGCTCTTCATGGATGCAGGTTAGTATTGCAGGCACGACGAAGAGAAGCGAGTGGTGGTCATAATAATTGTTATTACTTCCGCTTGAAACTGAATTATTGATATTATTGCTTTAATTGATTATTGATAGGGAATGTTTTCCCTAAGGATTTTATGATTATTGGAATGGTTATCGATTATTGAATTGGATTATTGATTATCGATTAGGGAGTCTTGAGGACTGAGAATTGATTATTGTTTGATTTTGATATTGATTTTGAAAATGAGTAACGCCTAAAGTGTTGTAGAAAATAAATTTGAAAAATTTATTCTGATTTTCGTTAAATAAAAGTGGGGCGTTACACGCATATTCAAATTAACAACATAACTAACATTTATGCTGAGATATTATCGCATATATAATAATGCATATTCAAATCGGACGGATAATTAAATCATATGTGAAACACTTCCTCATATGTTGTAATCAAATATCAAAATCCACCGCATAGTTTACAATATGTGAAACTATTTCGCATATATAGTTATCAGATATTCAAAATTGATAACCGTATATTTACGATTATGTGACATATTTTCTCATAATTTACGACTTGCATATCCAAATCCACCGCATAATTTACCATATGCGATAACATTTCGAATATTCTTTTATTGCATATCCATACGACGCATATTTATGATTATGTGATGTATTTTTGCATAGTTTATGACTCACATATCTAAATCCACCGCATAATTACCACATGAGAAGCTTTTTTTCATATTCTATTATCGCATGCCCAAATCGAACTTCGCATATTCTAGGTTATGCGACATATTTGCGCAGAGTTTACCACTCGCATATCCAAATTCACGCATAATTACCTTATGTGATTAATTTTCCTGGCTACGCCCTTGGGACTATATATAAGTATAACGAACATATACCGAACATATACAAAAGATATACCGAACATATGTATACTGAACATATACCATTTTCTGGGTTTATATATGTATAACTAACATATACAAAACATAGGGAGATGCTACGGTCCCGTTACGGTACCATCCTGTCGGTTGTTTTAACCGTTAGATCTACGTGTAGTTAGATAAGATCGATGATCCAACGGTTAAAACACCCGACGGGATGGTACCGTAACGGGATGGTAGTATTTCCCAAAAACATATACTGAAAATAACTTCAAATCCAGGTGTCGAGTTTTTTTTTATAAATATCATTGTCGTCTTCCACCAATCATAAAAAAGAAAAAACAGAGAGAGGGAGAGATATGAAGGATTTCAACGGTAAAAAAATAATAATAGAGATGAAGAGTGAAGAATGGAGAATAAGAGATAAGTGGGAGAGAGAAAGCCTACCTTTAATTACATAATCAGTTAATTGTATACTTCAATTAATTATTTTTTATATATCTAGTAATTTTATAATTAATGTTATGCATGTAGTAATTTTGCAATAAAAAGTGATATGTGTTGTATAGTGTGTAATTTCCTCTTACAATAATGTCCAATCAAAGACAAATCGATAGAAATTGTATGATTCTACCAAAATCGAAATTATAATTTGTTATCATTTCTTTTAGGAGCTCAAGAATAGAAGAAGATTATCGCATAATGAGAGGTAAAGAAATGTATTTTTATAATTACTTTAATTTTTAGGAATGTTTTTTTTTTTTTTTTTGGGTACAATAGGAATGTATTTTTTACTTGATAAAGGTAAAGGTAAAGGTGAAGAGACCTAGGCCTAAGTCACTTGGGATTTGGGAATAGGTACATGTTGGGATCGTTTCTTCATATAAGCAAGGTGAGTAAAAGAGACCGAGTCACCGAAGACAGCCACTCCAGCAGCTTCGTTAACGCCCCAGCCGTCGCTCTACCGATCTTCAACTCTAAAATCATGGATTACTCACCTGAATCCGATATTGACTACGAGGAGCCGCCGGAGCCCCAATACAAGCGTAAGAAATTGCTATCAGTAGATCCCCAAATCTGCATCGTCTGCAAGTTCAGCGATCGCACATCCAAAGGCACATCCGAAGGCTACGACATTGTAATTGCACCAACATCATCATTATCGTCGTCGTCGTCCCCCAACACTATCACTATCAGGCCTGCCGTCCGCCTCAATACCGGCTTGGACACTTATGAAGGGTTTGCTGTCTGTGGTCTGGCTTCCACTCTCTATCTGTTTGAAGATGGACCCTCCACGTCAGCATACAGGCTTGACCTGTCCCCGCACCTCCTCGCTTCTGGGCGGCGGCCCACCCCCACCGTGGATCTGGGGATTCCCGACCTCACCCCCGTGAGCTGCATGCGCCACCCAAAGCACCTCGTCCAGGCCATCCCCACACCCGATGCCACAAAGATCCTCGTCTTCTCACAACTCATCAAATTCGACAAAGACACAAGGTTCGCCGGAGGCAAAGATTTCGAGCTCTACGATCCCTCAACTGACACTTGGCTTCTGCTCCCGGGAATCCAAGACGATTATTGCTTTGATGCGTTCCATTGCCGGGACCGCATCGTGGACTTTGGTTTCGTGGATGAGACTACTTTCTTCATACAGACGGTCGAGGGAAACTCAAACAATAGTAGAAAAACCATCTTCCGTCTCCACCTGGACACTATTGCTAGGGGCTGGCGGAGGCTGGACAACTATTTTGGGGCCCACTCGGTTCTCATGCGGTCGAGCTTTGGCCGTTTTCATGTGATTGAGGAAACGCTGTGCGTGACGCCCCATCACATTTACGATCTGAGGAGGAGGAGAGATGAAGAAGAATCATTGGTCAACCTTGTGCTGGGGCCATGGGCACCCGATTTCCGCCAGTCGGCTGCTGATTCTGTGTGGCTTCTCGATGGCAAGCTGCAGGGCAAGTACACGTTTTGTACTTTGACGGCAGGGATAAGGAGAAGAACAAAGGAACCTAAACTTGTAATGGCTCTCCACCACTGTGATGTTACCCACTATAGAAAGGATTTGGAACTCAGCAACAACATCTTGCCTGGGGAACGCATTGACTTTTTTCCCCTCGGCCACAACAAATGTAGTGAATTTGATCCCATCCACTTCTTCACCATCTCCAACTAAATTAAATTATTACTAGCTCACTCTTTTGATTTGATTGAGCCTATATTATTGTCATGTAATTAATATTAATTTTCTTACTACTCTTTTGATTGATTGAGCCTTGAGGGAAGATCAGACTTTGTTCTATGATAAATTACTTTCTCACTCATAATCTTCTAATTCTAAAACACTCAACTATTGCTATTACTATCAATCAATGATCGAAGATAAATACTTTTTATGATTGTCTTTGCAATGGCATGTAGTTGTTCAGTTGTTCTTTTCTTGGTATTAGGATGTTATATTTGTTTTCGGTATCTTCTTATGATTGTCTTTGCAATGGCATGTAGCTGTTCACTTGTTCTTTTCTTGGTATTAGGATGTTATATCTGTTTAGTTTAACCTGTTGGTGATCGTATATTTAATGCGCCGTAATCTATCCGGTTCTGTAGCTTAGGTTGGAGTATTTGTCACCGCAGAATTAAATGATTCTTTGAGGCTGGCTGGTCTTGTATTTGTTGTCTGGTGATGTCATGTGCCCCTGAGGATAGCAAATTTCTTATGTATTTGTGCTGTTTAACTTGTTTTGTTGGCTGGTCTTGTATTTGTTGTCTGATGTCATGTGCCTGAGGATAGTAAAATTTCTTAGGTATTTACGGTGTTCAACTAAATTAGGTTATTACTAGCTCTGCTCTTTCGATTTGATTGAGCCTATATAATAGGCATGTAAATAATTTTAATTTTCTTACTACTCTTTTGATTGATTGAGCCTTAAGGGAGAATATATATAGTGGAAGATCAGACTTTGTTCTATGATAAATTACTTTCTCACTCATATTCTTCTCATTCTATCTCAGTCAACTATTACTATTACTATAGTGTGTACTGTACGTAAATATTTATATGTCAATTTTGCTTAATCCTTCCATGCATATCACTCATGAATGTTCAACTCAATTTCAATATTATTATATCTAAATGCACTAGAGAGGATTTTTTTTTTCCATGAAATGTGCCAAGTATTCTACACTTGCATTCTTTTATAGTTGGGATTTTAAGTACCACTTCAGACTCCATTGCTTTATTTTTTCCTTCTTCTTTCTAGAGATTGACAAATTTTACCAAGAATAATCCCAAGATTAAGATCTTGGAACTTTATTTTTCTCTTAGTGGTGGCACTACAGCATATACATTTCACTATCAAATACGAGAAAGTGGATTTTTTTTTCCCAAGCCCATTGGCAGTTCTATATGCGTTAGCCGGCGTAAGAACTTACTGTGTGTACTATCATTTGCATCCATAATCCATGTTATATATATGTACCTTGGAATATCAACAGTTGGCAGTTGGCTCTTTTCCTGGTCTTTTCCTGCAGGCCAGACGACAAAGGTTGGTGAAAAGTCGCTTCTCTCACACAATTATTCAGGTGCATGTATTGGTTGATCAGGCATTTGGAATTCTTTTTCGTTTTCGTGTGTTCAAGACACTTTGATGTACTGTCACCATTATTTCAGGAGAAGAGATTTATGATTTTTACGTCTTCAAATTAGTTCGAAGTTTCTTCTGCAATTGCGGCATTGCCTTTATCTTCATTTTTATGCTTTTGGTTTTCCCTATTCTATAATTATTTTGTCTTATAACTATTTTACCCTTTGGTTTTATTTTATTCTGCAATGCAATAAATTAAATATTTTGATTCCAAGGGTCTTTTCTCCCGTCAGTGATTGACGAGGTGTCAGCAGTGGTCGGATTCTTCAACCAAAGGGACGAGACATTGCTCAAGATTTCACCTTATGTCTGTGGGTAACCCTTTCTAGTTATTTGAATACGTGTATTATTATTGAGTTTTGTTAAGTTTATCAATAATTTTGAGCTTGTTTATTTCGTCCACTGGTAATGTGAGCTCGCACTCTTAAGAGGCTTTCCAGATTTATGCACGCCTCGAACGAGAGGACTTAGTGCGAGTTCAGGGGGTGGCGGCAGCGTTGAGGCCTTAATTGGATATGCAGAAGTTGGTGGCTGTGACGATGATCGCGTTCCCTAGAATGCACCACTGGGTGTCCTCAAGGCAAATCACGTTTTCATTTTATTTATTTCCCATTATTATATACATTCATTTCTAACAGGGAAAACCAAAGGACAAGCAAGCTCCGAGAATTATAGCAGCCTAACTCAAGTGTTTGGTGTTCAAGGCTGCTATCGTTTAACCAATTTCCATGTCTTTCTATCTCTATCTCATTTATAATTGCACATTAGCGTGCATGGAATGTTTGTGATGAAATGCGTCATTGTGTTTTTTGATGATCATACTCAGACAAAGGTTATTTGTATCGGGCCTCGATAAATCTTTCCACTAGCAAAACTTGAAACCAAGGACATTTTTATATTTGCTTTAAAATTGAATTCATAGTTCCATAATTTTTTTTCTGAATTTCCCGACTCCAAATTGATTGTATGTGGTCGTTGAACATACACTGATATTGTTTATTCTCTCTACTTTGTGCTGCAGTTTAAGGAAATTCCCTCTGCTGATTGAATTGGAGTTACGACTTCGAAAAAGATTTATCATGTTTGCAGCCACTGTCAGCTATATAGCGAGCTGATCGAAGTCGAGCCGAGTTGACCGGCTATATAGCCGTTTCAAAAATTCCGATATTTTGGCTACTGTGGTGAAATCAATGCGAAAAAGGAGGGCAGTCATTATCTCTTCTCGATTTTAAGATACCCGACTTCCTCGGTTACCTCTCATGTCTTACTATTTGGGTCGAATCTTCCCAATTAACATTTATTTATTCAAGATATGGCTGACAGTGCCGCCTTTATACATTTCGAATTTCAAATCCTTTCAGTGACGCGCGTCATGCCAACCGCTGACTCCTCGCATTCTGTGCCTTATCACGGTCGTTGGTTTTCCTTTAATCCAACGGCTGACATCCATCCTATTCTCTATAAATAAGATTGGGTTTCTTCCTCAACTCTTTTTCACTTTTCCTCAATTTCTTCTTCAACTCCGGCAAATCAAAGACCCCAGCTATCTTTCCAGTGAGTTGTTTTTATCGTTTGCAGAACTTTAACCACCTGTCAGATCGGCGATATGTGTAAGTATATTCACTTTATTCTTTCTTTCTCCTATTTTCTGGGTTTTTCGGATCTCTGTGTCGCCGTGTTCTTCGTGTTCTTCAAGAATTTTTTGTTTTTTGTTTTGTTTTTTGGAGATGTTATGTTGGATCTTGCGTGAATTATTTTTCAAGTAGATAAATTGTTATTGTGCAACTTAGGCTATCGCGTATATCCCCTTGTCGGCGTTCATTATGTCGACTCTTATCGACGTTCGCTCTTTCTTTTTGTGCTTTCCCTGAGTCGACTTTTTTTTTTTATACTTTTTCTAAGCCGACCCTTATCGCTGTGTCTGACCTTTTGCCTTTGTCTTTTTTTTTTTCTTTTAGCTTCCAACTCCGGTTCATCGGCTGACACCCTCGACAGATTGATCGACAGGGGCCTTGACCAAGCCGACTCAAGCTCAGTTGAGATTACCGGCTGTAGGATGGTGAACGTTTCACCCCCTTCATCGGGTACCTCAACCCTGAAGGTCGACTGGGCCGAATATGATCAAGCCTTGTTGGACGGTGGTCTAGTTGAGGTCTCAAAGAGTCCTCGAGGAAACTCTCCTCGTCTCGACTTGATTCCTCAGGGTATTCCCCTTAGGTTGTTAGATGTCCATGTGTATAGTACTAGTCCTGTACCTGTATCCTTAGTTACACCTCTCGATCCTCGAAAGGTTGTTTCGATCGCTTGTACTTTGGCCAAATTAGCCACTTTAAATCCTTTTTCGTACGCCTCTGCCGCTCGAGTCGAGAGTTTTAGGCAATTCAGCGGGCTCCCCTCCGATTGGGAGTTAGTTATTCCGGGTCCTGATGGAAACTTTGTCTGTCCCCCCGAGGGTTGTTATACCTTCTTTGTCGACCAGGTTATCTTTGGCCTACGCTTTCCCATCCAAGCCGAGCTTTTGGAGATTAGTGACTTGTATAAAATCCCAATAAATCAGTTTTCTCCCAATGCTCTTTGTATCATGATAGCCTTCATCGTTGTTTCTCGTATAGTTCTTCATTCTTTTTCAGCCGAATTTTTTCATTACTGTTATAGTTATCGGCTTCAAAAAGGGGCCCATTGTTTGATACGTCGTCCCGGCGTAACCTTTTTTGATGATCTTTCTTCGAATGTCCCCGAATGGAAGTCAAAATTTGTCTTCATTCGTCCTCCCGTCGGTGCTTATCCTTACACCAATAACTGGATAAGTACTAAAGTTAAACAGAATAAACGGTCTCGATCCGAGGATTTCGAAAGACTCTTAGCAGAGTTGAATAAATGTACTTATAGCGCTCGACGCATAATAAGAGACCGTGGGTTGGTCAATCATGTCCGAATCGTCTTGTATGACGATCTTCCTCAGCTCGACGATCCTCGTAAGCTGTCCAGCATTTCCTTCAATATCAAGTCGTCCCTTATTTTCTTCTAATCTTTGCTTTTATTGTTACTTTTTCAGTTAACACACTCAAGCGTTTCGAGGCGAAGAAACCGCCTACTGCTCCTGCTCCACCCGGCAGGCCTGGCGCACAACGAGTGCCCGCAAGAGGCCTCAGGATGATCGTGCCCCTCCCTTGCTCCTCGGCGACCCTAAGCGTCGTAAGGTCGACAAGGGTAAGGAGAAGATGGACGGGGGGAACGCTGTCCCCAAGCGGACAGAATCGTCTGTTACCTACAAGGACGCGTTGGTCAAGATGCCGTCCCGACTATGGAACCATCCGGAGCCGTATAAGGTAGCGGAGTACCTTTACTCCGTGCTTCCCGAGGCCGACAAGGCTCGCATCGAGGGGACCGAGTATGAGCGCTCTTGCTATGCTACCCAATGCCTGGTTCGGGTATGTGCTTTGTTCTCACACGTTTATCTTGCGCATTTTCTTTTTGCATTTCCTTATTAGTTAGTTTTTTTTTTTGTAGTTTATGGCGGCTGCTCTCCCTG